GTCCCAGGTTCCCTCCGGGCCATGGTCTCCCCTGTTACGGTGGGACGGGGGCTGCTCCTGGCTGCACCAGCTCCCCCAGCCAAGCCCCCAGGAGGGGGATGCTCCCAGGGCCCGTCCGCAGGTGACGTGCTACAGCAGACAAACGTTGCTCCTTTGCATAAGCAGGACAAGTCATTCCTTTTCTTCACGTTTTCCCACACACAAGGAAATCATTCAGTGAGCATCTGAGCCTCAAGCAGCCCCAAAAGCAATGCCAACATTTTCTGTCCCAAACGTAGAAGTTTTCACTAGACCACACAAGCATCCCAACTGCTCCCCTGTTTTTTATGCCGCTGTTACTCACTTTCCTAGTAGTTTGCTTTGCACCCAAAATTCCACTTCCATCAGAGGTACATGCACGCAACCACAGCCTCTCGGTCACTTTCATACTAAAGCAGACAGCGATTACGCAATCCTAGCTATTTTTGGTCCAAGGGAAATACACGTACAGGTGCCGTTCCATGAGGAGATTGGTGAACAAAGCACATCTGCTGTTACACATTAAACCTGAAGGGAGAATTTGATTCGTCTTAACTGGAAAGCCTTTCAGCTTCAGCACAGCATCTAACAGCAGCCAAGATGCAAGAGGAGGGAAAGGGTTTCAGATCAACAACAAGCACAGAAAAAAACAGTTGACAAAGGATGCTCCAAGTCTGCAGTGACTGAGTAGAGAACACCTTCCTCAGGTGCATCTTTTTAAATGAGTCTTTGTCATCCTTCAAAAAAAACTATAAATATACACGTCCTAGTCAAGTAGTGCAATATTAGAACCACTCATGTTAAGTTGAACATTTTGTATGGATAGTATCATTACACATTGAAGTCATAAAAGATCCCACACTTTGTGAATCTGCTTTCCTAAAAGCATTTAAAGGCCACTGTATAAATATAAACACTGGTGATTATAGTCCATTACAGAAAGAATATACATCTGTTTTCACAGACTGTCAGAAGAGAAATGGGACTAGATCATGGGCTTCATTTGTAAACTGTAACTTTATGGCTAATTCTAATGCTCAAAAAAACTTTAAAGTTGCCATAACCATCAGTAACTAATAGAACTTAACAGCTGTAAGTAACCTGAAGCATCTCCATGTCCAGTTTGCCATGTGTTGTGGGATTGCGTGGCAAGGTTTTGGTAGCGGGGGGCTATAGGGGTGGCTTCTGTGAGAAGCTGCTAGAAGCTTCCCCCATGCCTGATAAAGCCAGTGCCAGCAGCTCTAAGACAGACCCGCCGCTGGCCAGGGCCAAGCCAATCAGTGACGGTGGTAGCGCCTCTGTGATAACAGATTTAAGAAGGGGAAGAAGAAACTGTGGTGAAACAGCAGTTGGAGTGAGGAGTGAGATGCTGTGAAAGTAACAACTCTGCGGACACCCAGGTCAGTGAAGAAGGAGGGGGGAGGAGGTGCACAAGACACTGGAGCAGAGAGCCTTCCCTTGCAGCCCGTGATGAAGACCATGGTGGGGCAGGTTGTTCCCCTGCAACCCATGGAGGTCCACAGTGGAGCAGATAT